GGGGGACCTCTCCTCCGGCTTCCTCCGCCCCGCCCCGGGAGACCGGGTGCGGCCCGAGCGGGTCACTCACCGGGCCAGGAGCTCTAGGAAGATCACGTTACTGCAGCAGCCTGCGAACACCAGGCCCACCGCCAAGGCCGGGCGCATGGCCGGTGCAGGGTTGGGGGAGCGAGCGCACAGAGTAAGCGCCCGCTTATACCGCTACCCCAGGAAGCCGGCCTCCTGCCTCGCCGCAGCGCAGCACATCGCACGGTCCTGGAGAGCCGCTCTCACCGGGGGCGCCGGGTCTCCCCTTCCCCCGCGGTCAACACCGACGCTGCCACCAAGGATCTGTAGTTCGCAGTCAGCCTCGGTCCCATTCATCCGAGGGGGCGTCCGAGCCCCAGCCAGACTACATGTCCCAGGATGCCGTGCACCTTTACGTCAGGCTGCGCCGTTCCCGCTTCCGCCAGGCAGCTCAGCCAGAGAAGACAGGGGGACGAGGTGCCCGGCATCCCTCGCGCGGTAGGCGGCCGCGGGGCTTGCTGGGAAATGAAGTCCCAAAGGTGACTGTTTATTGCGAGAACGCCCAGAGCGCAGAAAGTAACTCGGCCGCCAGGGTCACAACAAACTTGCTGGCAGCGGCGGCACTAGAACTACAGAGATGTGACTGCTTGTTATAGATACCTTCTAGCATCTGAAACAACTCTGCTTCTTGAACTGAAGTAGAAATTCATCTGAACTTACCTCTCTACCTCTAGTAAAGAATAGTGGGACTCAGAGGTTCTGAGGTTGAATCTTGGCTCATCAGCGCTGCTGTCTCAGGCTACTTCTCTGAGCCTCAGTCTCACCTTTGGTAAAGAGAGGATCGAGAATGCCTATGTCACCTGGGGGTTGTGAGAATTAAAATATATGATCTCTGAGAAGCCTAACATACTAAGTGTATTGCTTTTATATTATCATTCTTAATGAGGCACCCAGGGCACTAATTGACTCTGTTAGCAACTCTATTAGCAACTCTATGGTGAGGACTCTTTCTTTTCTTCGCTTTCTCTCTCTAAGAACCAACCTTTCTTCCTAGCTTGCTTGCTTCCTTCCTTCCTTCCTTCCTTCCTTCCTTCCTTCCTTCCTTCCTTCCCTTCCTTCCTTTTTTTTTTAATTTTAATTTTTTTCACCCGAGACACAGTGCCCCCAGAACATGTACCCCAGGACTTTCTTTCATTAATTGTTGTAATGTGCCAGCACTGTTCAGACTCAAGACGGGTGCTCATTAAATACTGAATTTCACAGGTAGTAGGCATTCTATTCATGTTAGTTCTTCCTACTCACTTTTTTAAGGCAGCAGTTCTCAAATTCTAGAATGCATTAGAATTAGAACGTGGAGTGCTTGTTAAAAATACAGGTTTCTAGAGCCCATACACAAGGATTTTGACTTGGTAGGTCTAAAGTGAGACCCAGTAATCTGCACTTGATAACGAGTACCTCAGATGATTCCAGTGTGATCTCCCAGCCACGGGGGAAAAAAGCATTCCAAACTATGTTGCAGATCTCGAGAAAGACTTCAGAGGGTTCATTTCTCACAGGAAATAGCAAAAACAATATAACATTCCAAAATTCTACCTAGCTTTGTACCGTGTACTTTGCTATTGCTGTTGGATTCTATTCAATGGAAATATTTGGTGTGGTAAAACACTAAGCAGTAATGCTAACCTTTTGTAGTAGACACTGGGAAGCAGAAAGGAAGTATAAACATGTTTCCATCAAAAACTAGTCTTGCTGGGTAGATGAAGTGTGCATACCTATTTTACAAATAAAGAGCAGTGGGGCACTAGCTTAAGTACATAATATGTGCTTAACAAACACTTGTTGATTGAGTAAATAAGAGTCAAGTCGAATGGCTCAGATTGAGTGCTATGAGAATACCCCTGTAAGAAGAAGGAAGTGTGCCTTCTTTTCACCATTAAGATCTGATTGCTGATACAGGCATTTTTGCTGGTAGAAGTGCCTGGACATTGGCAGTTTTCAAAGCCCCCAGGTGATTTGACTGTGGCCCGAGCGGAGCGGGGCCAGCTAAGTTTGAGAACCACTGAGGTAAAGGAAGGGAGTACCTTAAAGAGCTAAGATTAAGGATAATAGCAATGGATCATCTTTAAGACTGCACCTCAGTCTAATTGAATCAGAATCGCCGGGGGTGGGACTTGGCTATCAGTCATCTTTAAAGCTCTCCAAGTGATTCCAATGTACAGATGTGGTTGAGAGCCACTGCTTTACTTGAATTCTCAGTGGTTCTCAATCCTGGCAGCATAATAGAGTCACACAAGATATATGTGTGTGTATATATGTATACACACACACACATACACACAAACACATATATATACACATACACCAATTATATATATACACACACACGTGTATATACCGGTTATATTCATATATACATATATATACACACACACACATACATGTATAACTGGTATGTATACAGGTATATAGTAGTGCCAGTTCTACTTCAGACCTAATAAAGCAGACTATCTGGGAGTGAGGCTGAAGCAATGATACTATCTCCACCTTCACTATAGATAATCCTACCAAGAGGAAGGCTGATCTGGATTTTCATCTGGATTTCATTAGAGGAGATTTCTCTTCACACAGACCTTCATTTTCCATATATGCCAAGAATTTGGAAGCTCTTAAAGGATGTTCTAAACATTTCTCATTACATCTCAGATAAAAACCAAAGCATGCCTAAGTGATTGAACAAGAAAAAATGGCCTGAGTACTGTAGTATCTACACGAGTTCTGTATCTTCCTTCCTTCCTTCACATTTCTGTCTTGACCTACTGCAGTGAGTAATTTAATGTGCATGTTAATCACCTGGGAATCTTATTAAAATGAAGATTCTGATTCACTAGGCCTGCAGCGTGGCCTGAGATTCTGCATTTCTAAGAAGCTCCCGGGTGATGCTGATGCTACTAACCTGTTGACCACAGTTGGAGAGCAGAAGCCTGTAAAATCGTTAACTCTGAAGACCTCTCTATCCTCCCCTCTGATTCGCTCAGAGAGCTTTTGCTAGCAAACCCATCCTCAGACCAAACTCATGCTCAAAGAAACTAACTTATCTTTCTTCCTCCCTCATTTTACCATCAACTGTCTTTAAAGAGTAATCTATATTTGTAGTCTTTACTTGTTAAATCTCCAATCAGCTTCTTAAAGTACTCTGATCAATGTCAGGATATTAAAAGTAATCCTGTTTAGAGCCGTAATGACTTTTTAATTGTCAACACCATATACCACAGTCTCACCTTACTTTTTACAATGAAAACCCATTATTTCTGGACATTCTCTTGTCCCTCTGTTTATAAGACATGAGTCTCCTGTTTCTCTTCTGACTTCTCTGACTTACCCTTGCCAGTTTCTTAATGGGCTCTCCTCCTCTGATCGCTGGGTTCTCCTTTCAGAGTTCCATCATTTATTCCCTCCTCTTATTGCCCTGCACATGTTCTCTTGGCAATTTCACCTGTGGAACTTCCACCATTGCCATACGGAACAGTGATCCTATGTGCATGTCTATGTACAGCCCCCATCTCCCTGTGTCCTCAACCAAAATTTCCAGCGTCTTTGGAATGTTCACTAATATTTCCCTGTAAACCCCTCACCATCAGGGCATACACATTTCATTACCTACCCTCCCTAATAGGCCTTTATTTCTATTAAGAACACTGTACTCTACTTCTTCTCTTTGGGAAAAACCTGAAAGATTTACGTCTTCCTCTTTTTTCCACTGCACATGTATTTGCTCTTTATATCCCGTCGGTTCCACCTCACAAGTATCTCTAGATTCCAGCCTTTCTTTTCCATTCCCATTGACATCCACTTCTCCTCCTGTAAAGGCCTCCTAACATCTTGATACCTTCAGCCTCTGTGTTCTTTAACCCATCCTTCCTGCTGCCTCCAGGCTGATTCCAAAAACCCCAAATCTTCATGTCTCATTGCTATTCCAATTGTGTAGTACAACATAACAAACCACCCCAAACTGTAGTGATTCAAAGCAAAACAAACAAAGAGAAAAACCCAAGCACTGTATTTCTCACTCAGGTTCTGTGTGTTGACCATGCCCAGCACACAGCTACTCTGTCTTCTGTTTGGATTTTCATGCAGTTGCAGTCAGATGTGGGCTGGGGCTGGAGTTCACTGAAGGCTCAAAAAGGTTGATCCCCGAGATGGCAGGAGCAAGTCTCTTAACATGGTGTCTCTTAGGCCGTGCTTGCTCACAACATGGTGGATTCAAGATAGTTGAAATTCTTAAATGGTAACTTATTTCACCTAGAACAAACATTCCAAGATATTAAGGCGGAAGCCGTGGTGGCCTCTGAAGTCACACAGTGCCACTTGTGCCACACCCTATTGATTCTGTAGGACCAAGCTTGATTCACTGTGGGAGAAAAGTAACACAATCATCAGTTGTGTCTGTGTGGGAGGAACGTCTTTGAAGTCTAGCTATATACAGTGTTCCTTGATTCCTTGTGTAAAAGTCACACTTAGTAGAAGGCATATAAACATCACAGTCAAGCTTCAGTTTACCTCTTTGGTTTTATCTTGTGTCATTCTCCCTAGAGCTACCTGGGCTCCACTCACATAAACTCACTCTCTTCTCTGAGTTTACAGTAACTTTCCAAATTCCTACCTGTGCATATGCTGTTCTGTCTGCTTGGACTATCCTTTTCTCTTTAGCCAACTCCTGTTCATCCTTTTACAGTGGCCAGAGAGGACAGTAGAGTGAGTAGATACCTCTACGTTGTGCAGGAGGAAGGTGCCATACTAAGATGTCACTTTTCTGTGTGTAGCTTTTCTTTCCTCTTTTCTTTGTTTTTGGAGGGGGAGTTTTGCTCTTGTTGCCCAGGCTGGAGTGCAATGGTGCGATCTTGGCTCACTGCAACCTCTGCCTCCAAAGTTCAAGTCATTCTCCTGCCTTGGCCTCCTGAGTAGCTGGGATTACAGGTGCCTGACAGCACGTCTGGCAGATATAAATATATGTATAAATATATATATAATATTTTTAGTAGATAAGGGGTTTCTCCATGTTGGTCAGGCTGGTTTCAAACTCCTGACCTCAGGTGATCCACCTGCCTCAGCCTTCCAAAATGCAGGGATTACAGGGATGAGCTACTGCTCCTGGCTGCTTTTCAATGAACCATTCATGGCTCCCTTCTCTATAACTCCAGCACTCCTCCATACCCCCACTAATCCATTAATCATGTTGCACTGTAGTTACCTGTTTTCATGTTGGTCTCCCCCTCTAGACTAAGCCTTTGATGAACAGAATCCACAAATAACTAATTTATCTCTAGATCCTCAGCATCTTACATGGTGACTGGTATATAATATGTGCATATACTTTCTATTCAATGAATGAATGAATCAGCTTGATGTAGTCAAATAATTCACACCTCATGAATATATGATATTTTTCAGCTTGACTAATTTTAAAAATGTAAACATCAAAAATGTACTGCTCAGTGAAT